CACACACACACACACACACACACACACACACACACACACACACACACCTGCAGTAAATTGGTGGGTTTACAAATAGATAAGTTCTTAGATTTCTTTTTCCTTTTTTTTTTTAAGGCTATGTGGCTAGGATACCCTGGAACTAGCGGTGCCCTATTCATGGATTATATAATCACGGATCAGGAAACTTCCCCAGCTGAAGTTGCAGAGCAGTATTCTGAGAAACTGGCGTATATGCCCCATACTTTTTTTATTGGCGATCATGCTAATATGTTCCCTCACCTGAAGGTAGGCAGAAAAAAATACTATGGGTTGGGGGAGGGATTCAGAGGACCGTGTTTGTTTTTCCCTTCGTTATTGTCCACATGCACTAAAAGAAGTATTTCAAACTTTTTCCATTAGAAAAAAGCAGTCATCGATTTTAAATCCAATGGGCACATTTATGACAATCGGATAGTTCTGAATGGCATCGATCTCAAAGCATTTCTTGATAGTCTACCAGATGTGAAGATTGTTAAGGTCAGAACCTACTCAGCATTTGTCATTGAAGCCAACTTAATTTGGGATGTGTTTTTCTTATAATGCATTTTGTCTTACTGATTTTTTTTTTTCAGATGAAATGTCCTGATGGAGGTGACAATGCAGACAGCAGTAACACAGCTCTTAATATGCCTGTCATTCCCATGAACACGATTGCAGAAGCAGTTATTGAAATGATTAACAGAGGACAGATTCAGATAACAATTAATGGATTCAGTATTAGCAATGGACTAGCAACTACACAGGTGGAATAAACCGTAATTATGTATCACATACATGCAACCTTTCCTTTTAAGTCTTACAGCCACTCCATTTTATAGAGGAGATGAGTTGTTAGAAACTAGCTCTTTTGTAGCTGTGTCTGGTTTTAAAAGTTATCTGGCTTCAGCCATCAGGTTTCTTAGCACCTGTGCTAATGCTTTGTTTTTGCCTGTCTGTGCCGTTACTCTCTTATTATCACTAGGTACTGCATGGTTTGTAAACTCACCCTTTCCCTGGCTAAATCCTGTACAGCCTTTTAGTTCAGATAGTTCTTAAAGGAACCAGTTTCTTTATTAATCTATAGTCTCTTTTTCCATATTCATTGGTACCTGTTTGCTGTGCTTCTGTAATATTGGGGCTACATCGTTACATTCAGCACAGTGCAGTGTAATTCCCTGTATTTTTATCTGTCAGTAAATCGAATTACTTTAGTGCTCATTTCTTAGCCACAATGATATAGTATGTATTCCACGAGTATATATTGCATACTTGCATTGGTAAATATATGTAGCTCTATCCATAAGAGTGTAAAAAGGCAGGGATCTTAGACCTCTAAGGTGTTAACAACTTTATTGAGATGTCCATATGCATGTGAGAGTGTAAGACAGTACTCAAATGTATGGAATTTGGAAATAAATCCTGTAGTTAAAGTTGACCATCAGTATGAGGGGAGTCTTAGGAGAAGAGGCCCTTTGGAGAGAAGTAATTGAAATTTGCCTTGGAGAGTGGATATGATTTGAAGAAGGGCATTTTATCCATGAAGAACAGAGTAAAAAAGTAAAAGCTTACTATTGGTTAGAGGGTTTTAAGTATTTCTGGGTTTTTTTGTTGTTGTTGTTGTTTGTTTGGTTTTGGTTTTTTGAGACAGGGTTTCTCTGTGTAACCCTGGCTGTTCTGGAACTCGCTCTGTAGACCAGGCTGGCCTTGAGATCTACCTTCCTCTGCCTCCTAAGTGCTGGGATTACAGGCCACCATTGCTGGCCCTGTTTGTTTGAGACAGGATCTGGTTTAGCTCAGGCTGTTCTCAAACTTTGCAGCCCTCCTATCTTTTCACTATCTTAACAAAAGCAAGAATTTTCTTAGGGTGGTTAGTTCTTCCTAAACCCAAAATAATGGTATAACATTTTTACTTCTTAAAAATGAACTAAATGAGAAACATTTTCTCATTATAGTTCAGGGACAGGACTTGAAATGCATTTACCATTTTGTGTCTTATGAATTCATTCTTTTTCTGAAAAGTACTTATTTATTTTTATTTTATGTGTACGGATGTTGCCTGAATGTATGTCTGTGTACTATGTACATACCTGGTGCCTAGGGCGGCCAGAAGATGGCATTAGGTCTCCTGGAACCAGAATTAAAGATGGTTGTGAGCTGCCATGTGGTTGCTGAAACTCAAACCCAGGTCCTCTGGAAGAGCAGCCAATGCTCTTAACTGCTGTGTCATCCCTCCAGCGAGCTCACTTGTTCTTGTACTATTTCCATTCTTGTTCTTTGTCTCTTTGTTTTTGTTTCTGTCTGTCTGTCTGTCTGTCTGTCTGTCTGTCTGTCTCTCTCTCTCTCTGTATGTGTGTTGTGTGTTGACCTTCTAGCCCAAGGTCATAAGAGATTTACCTGCCTACAAGTTTGAGGCCAGCCTAATTTATATAGCAAGTTCCAGGCCACCCAAAGCTTCATAATGAGACCCTATCTTAAATAAGAAAAGCCAAGCCAGGCATTGTGGCACACCACTGTAATCCTAGCACTTGGGAAGCCTGACTGTTGACACAGTTTGAGGCCAGACTGGTTTACATAGTTTGAGGCTATCCTAGATTATATTTATAATAAGAGAAAGAGGAACTGTGTGTTGTGTGTGTGTACGTGCATGTGCATGCATGATGTTGAATCAAACCCAGAACCTAGAGAAGCGTATTGCTATATAGATATACCCCCCATCCCTTAGCCTATCCCTTTCTTTTTTTCTTTCTTTCTTTCTTTCTTTCTTTCTTTCTTTCTTTCTTTCTTTCTTTCTTTCTTTCTTTCTTTCTTTCTTTCTTTCTTTTATTTTTTTCTTTTTTGAAAGGCTTTTGCTGGGTAGGGGTCTCATATAGCTCAGGTTAGCCCCAAACCTCGATCTTTGATCTTCTTGCCTCCATCTCCTGAGTGCTAGAATTTAGATGTATACCGCCATTCTTTTTAAATACACTTTAAAAAAACCAGGGCTTCTTGCATGCTCGGCAAGCCCTATACCAACTGAACTACATCTGCACCTCCCTTGGCCTGTATTAACTCTAAATTTAATCATGTTCTTTTCATTATTCTAGATCAATAATAAGGCTGCAACTGGAGAGGAGGTTCCCCGTACCATTATTGTAACCACCCGTTCCCAGTACGGGCTGCCAGAAGATGCCATTGTGTATTGTAACTTTAATCAGTTATATAAAATTGACCCTTCTACCCTGCAGATGTGGGCAAATGTGAGTATGTGTAGATTTGTTATTAATGCCCATTGATGAGTAAAGATTATGTATATAGGCCATCTTGCTGAAGCTGGACCTCCTCTGTTTTTTTGTTTATGGAATGTGTACTCATTTCTAATCTTCAAGAATTGTGAATTTTTCATTTCTTTTAAATCATTGTGTTTTTTTTTATTTTTTGAGATTATAATTAATATCATTTCCCCGTTTGTTCCTTCCAAAATCTCCCATGTGCACTCCCTTTTCTCTCTTTGAAAGTCATGGCTCTTTATTTATTTATTTATTTATTTATTTATTTATTTATTTATTTATTTATTTATTTATTTAGGTGGTTGTTGTTACTTTTGTATTTTTTTTTCTTTAGTAGTAGTTGTTGTTAGTGGGGTGTGTGTGCGCATGTGTGTGTATGTTGTGTGTTCTTAAATGCATAAATACAACCCACTCAGTCTGCATCATGTTACTTGTATTGTTGGTTTTGAGATGAGGTCTCATGTATTCCAGGCTGGCCTTGTTACATACCAGAAGATAACTTTGAACTTCTGTTCATTCTGCCTCTATGTCCCAAGTGCTGGGATTACAGAGGTTTGCTACCACACCTGTTTAATATGGTGCTTGTATTTAATTATGATAGAAAATTAACCCTACCAACTGAGCTATGTCCACAGCCATTTTCAATTTGGATCTTACCTTCGCATGTTGTCTTCTTTTCCCCCAATGTTTGGGTATCAAGCTCAGGGTATGATACACAATAGACAAGCCCTGTGCCAATAAGCTATATCCATGGTCTTTTGTTGTTTATTTTCATTTTTTAAGACAGAATCTTTCTACATAGCCCTGGCTATCCTAGAACTCCCTGAGATAAGGTGTGTACCACCATTCTTCATTTCATACTATTAAAACATTTATTTATTGAAAGTGTTTTGTCCAAACCAGACATCAACAAAGTTTTTTTTAAAGATTTGTTTATTTTTTATGTGCACTGATGTTTTACCTGCATGCATATCTGTATGTGGCTGCCAGATCCTCTGGAAGTAGAGTTACAGACAGTTGTGAGTTGCCATGTGGGTGCTGAGAATTGAACCTGGAACTTTGAAAGAGCAGCTAATAACCACTGAGCCATCTCTCAGCTCTTTTTTGAGAATGGGTTTCTCTGTGTATCTCTGGCTGTCCTGGAACTCACTCTGTAGACCAGGCTGTCCTTAAACGCAGAGATCCACCTTCCTCTGCCTTCCAAATGCTGGGATTAAAAGTGTTCTCTATCACTACCTGGCCAATTTTTTTTTCTTCTTAAAGGGTTAGATAGTAAATGAAATTTTCAGTTTTGTAATCTAGTTTCAGTTTAGTAATCTAGTCATCTCTCCTATTCATCCTATTCATCATGGAAATACTTTAGATATTATGTAAATCAATCCAGGGCCTCGTGCTTCGCTCACAGGACAAAGTTTGCCAACCCCTGACCTAACCTGAGAGCAAACCTGCTGTGTGTACACCCCTCTTGTAACAGTCTTGCAATACTACAAAGTTAAACCAGGGAAGAGTTGGTCGATGACTGTATTCCCCAGTCAGCTCATGAGCCTGGTTTGCAGAAGCACAACACTGAATATATGGAGCTAGCTGGCCCTGGATCTATAGCACTGAAATGATGGATTATTACCTTAAGGTTGTTAGAAAGAAATAATTTCTTGCTTAATCTACCCCCTCAGTGTTTATTTTGTCTTAAAGGGAAGGGTCATGTAGAAAGAGAAGTGGGTGAGTAAACCTCTATTATCCATGAATCCTCACTATTGCCAAAATTCTGAAAGCAAAATTTTCCAAACATTCGTCTAATTTTAGTTTTTTTTTTAATTCTGTTTATAAACATTTCTGCATCTCAATATAGAGATACTAATGTGCTTTAAAAAAAGAATACAACAAGAAGTTGCTTCCAAGAGTGTAAGATAAATGTATGTACATTGTGCAACATTTAAAAATGTGAAATAGTCTGAATTTGGAAATTTGTCTATTCCTCACATTTTTCAGAGAAGGAAGTGTGAAGTTCTGTGATATGTTGAATGAATGCACTTCTGAATCAAGAGTAGGTAAACTAGTCTGGAGGCCAAATCCACTGGTTGGTTTATGGGTTGATTCTTTTTGATGCTGGGGTAGAATCCAGGTCCTTGGACATGCTAGGCAAGTACTCTACATTTGAGCTACATCCCTAGCCCCACACTATTTCTTTTTATAAACAAAACTTTGACACATGGCCACACACATGTATCACTTACTATATATGACTGCTTTGAAGCTACAAAATGGGCAGTTATGAAAGAGTTCATATGGCTAAAAAGCCAGTAATATTTTCTCTGTCATCATTTATAGAAGTCTGCTGCTTCCTGATCTAGATTAGGCAACTTGGACAAATACAAGTTACTATGCCTCATGTGGTGTGTGGGATTTAAAATGTGAGGTACAGGCTGTAATCAAATATGCCAGCATTTCAAGCTACTCTGGAGGCAGAGGTAGGAGAATTGCTTGAGTCCATGAGTTTGTGGCCAGCCTGGAAAACTTAATGAGACCCTGTCCCTTAAAAACAAAAATATGGGAGAGGCCTATACAGCTCCACCCTTCCTTTAGGAACTATTGGCAGTAATAGTTACTAGGGGAAGAAGAGTCATTTTCTGTAGTAGTAATTTGGCCATACCCCAGTATATCACCCATTCTTCTGTAAGCAATCTCAATTAAACACACAAAATAACAAGAAACATCAAGATAAGAGGAGTTCAGTTAAAATGGGGAGGGTATGAGTAATGAAGAGTGAAAATGACATTTATCTATCTATACACAAATACATAATACATACATGGAATTGTTAAAAGATTTTTTAAATGGAAATTAAGAAAGCAAACACAAAGATACCCCAAATTCCCATCTCTAAGAAAGACCACTGCCTATATTAGTTCTTCCCTGATATAGTTGCCTAAAATTGTACCAGTTAGTAAGTCATCTTTGTCTTCTAATTAATATTATTTTTTCTGTCTTCAAACTGTGGGGACAGCTAAGAGAAAAGGAGTAATTCAAATGATTTGATTTACCTCTTTAATGGAAAGACCTAGGTGCCAAGTAGTCTTTTCCACTTGTTTGAGACAGGGTCTCCTAGAACTTAGGAACCTCCTGCCTCAGCTCAGGATTTTGTGGTGTTGTGGATCAAACTCAGGACTTTGTGAGTGCTAGGCAAGTTCTCCCAGCTGAGCTACATCAGCAGATGCCAATACACTTCTCGGTGGAAAGAATAAAGTGAAATAGAACGATTTTGGGAAAAGGTAGATGTACTATTAATCCTCTCATTTTTCCTTTTTCTCCCTTTGTTCCTTCCTTCCTTCCTTCGTTCCTTCCTTCCTTTCTTTCTTTTTCTTCCTTTCTTCCTTTCTTTTTTTAAGATTCTGAAACGTGTACCTAATAGTGTGCTTTGGCTGCTGCGATTTCCAGCAGTAGGAGAACCCAACATTCAACAATATGCACAAAATATGGGCCTTCCCCAGAACCGTATCATTTTTTCACCGGTGGCTCCTAAAGAGGAGCATGTCAGGAGAGGTCAACTGGCTGATGTCTGCTTGGACACACCCTTGTGTAATGGGCACACCACAGGAATGGATGTTCTCTGGGCAGGAACACCCATGGTGACTATGCCAGGTAAGTGGCTGTTATATCACCTCATTTTTCTTTATTCATTAAAACTTTTCTTTTGGGTCAAGAGGGAGTACTTGAAGGTGAAATTGCATGTAGTAAAAGTATTAAGGCAGGATGATAGAAAATGGCATCTACTCAAACCTGAACACTTGGCACCACTCTCCGTATGTACTGTGTGGATACTTAAATGCAATTAACAGTGAAGGATGTGACTTACAGTTCTAAGATGTGCAATTACTGTCTTTACCTTCTAGGAGAGACTCTAGCCTCTCGAGTTGCAGCTTCTCAACTCACTTGTCTAGGATGTCTTGAGCTCATTGCTAAAAGCAGACAAGAATATGAAGACATAGCAGTGAAACTGGGAACTGATCTAGAATAGTAAGTAAACTGCCAGGAATAAACTATATTTAAGAATGTGGCTAAAATGAAGCCATAAATTAAGGATCTATAAAATGGATAAATTAAGTTGTGTCTCTGAATGGGAGGACATGATTGCAACTCTCAGGTAATCACTAGATTTTAATAAAGAACTTTCCAAAGTGTCAGGTGTTTGAGCCTAATATTTTACTTTTTCACACAGTAAGATAATTTAAAAATAAAAAACAACAACAACAACAAAACACCAAAACTCAGTTGCCTGAGAATAAGTGTGAAGTAGAAGGATCATGCTAACACAAATGGAGCTTCACTCATTCAATGAAATAGCGGCTGTTTGTTTCATGGCGCACACCTTTAATCCTAGCACTGGATAGGCAGAGGCAGGCAGATCTGTGTGAATTTGAGGCCAGCCTGATTTACCTAGGGAGTCCAGGACAGTTAAAGGCTTTGTTAACAAAGAAATCCTGTCTAGAAAAAAAAATGTGTGTGTGTGTGGTTTAAAATGTATTCTCTCATACAATGCAACCTGACTGCAGTTTCCCTTCCCCCAACTCATTCCAGTTTCTCCCCATCCCTGTCCCTGATCTGTTTCCCTTCAGAAAAGAGCAAGGCCTCCCAGGGATATCAACTGAACATAGCATATTAAGTTACAGTAAGACTAGACACAGATACTCATATCAAGTCTGGATGAGGCAACACATTAGGAGGAAAAGAGTTCCCAGAGCAGACAAAAGAGAGACATCTTTCATTTCCACTCTTAGGAGTCCCACAAGAACACTGAATTATACAACCTGAACATATATGCTGAGGACCTAGCATATACAGGTTCCTGGTTGTCACTACAGTTTCTGTGAGCCCCTGTAAGTCCAGCTTAGTTGATTTTGTGGGCTATGTCTTCAACCCCTCTGATTCCTACAATTTCCAGATGAAGTCAGGCAGAGAGCAGGAGACCCCGCTGAAGGGAGGGATTTCTGCCTTTAGTACCAATCTCATAATGGCTCTCTGGTCTAAGAAAGAACTACAATCTCACCCAGCAGGATACTTCCAACATGGCTCATGCTGTTAACCTCTGAGCCATCTCTCTAACCCCATAATGTAGTTGTTTTGTTTTGGTTTTGTTTTACATTTTATTATATATATAAATAATTCTGTCTACATGTATACCTGCTTGCCAGAAAAGGGCATCAGATCACATTATAGATGGTTGTGAGCCACCATGTGGGTGCTGGGAATTGAACTCAGGACCTCTGGAAGAGCAGGCAGTGCTCTTAACCTCTTGAGTCATCTCCCTAGCCCCATAATGTAGTTTTTTTTTTTTTTTTTTTTTTTTTTTTTTAAGTCAAGGTTTTACTAGGCAGTTCAGCTTGGCCTTGAACTTGATCCTCCTTGCCTTCGCTTCCTAAATTTGGGGATTATGACTGTACCACCATATTAAGATAAAATTATGCTTTGCTTTGAGGACTGGCTTTCTTTTCTTTTGGCCTTTCGAGATAAGGTTTCTTGTGTAGCCCTGGCTGTCCTGGAAATCACTCTGTAGACTATGTTGGCCTCCAACTCAGATATTCTCCTGCCTCTGCCTCCCAAGTGCTGGAATTAAGGGTATCTGTCACCATTCTGGCTCCATAAAATACTTTTATCCCAACATTCGAGTCATGAAAAATTCCAATTTTATAATAAACATTATTATATCTACTACTTAGATCATGCCATTATATATAATTTTATTTGGTCTATTATAACATTTTCTGCTTGTTCTCAATGAGCCACCCATTTTGCTTAATGCATTTTTACGTAAATGGTAGACATAAGGATGCAATATTTCAGAACAAGTATCATTAATTAGAATTTAATTAATTTAATTTTGGAGGTGATGGGAATTAAACCTAGTACTTTCTATATAGTAGACAAACATTTTGCCAGAGTGGGCCATTTATCTAACCCTTGGCTTGTATGTGTGGGTACACATGCACATGTCATCTTACAGACACACACAAACCGTAAATCAGGGGACAGATTTCAGGAGTTGGTTATCTCCTATCACTTGGGTTCCTAGCATGGAGCTCCAATTTTAAGGTTTGTCTGCAAACACCCTTATTCACTGAGCCATCTTGCCATCCCAATACTTTATATTTGAGACAGAATTTTGATATCTAAATATCTAGATACAGATATGGAGAGCCAGGCTTGATGGCACACACTTAAAATCTCAGCATTTGGGAGATTGAGGCAAGAAGATTGCTTTAAATTTTAGGCAAGCCTGGACTATAGAATATTAGATCCTGTTTCAACTAAAAAGAAGAAAAAAATAATACACAGTGAAGTCCACAAATTTCAAGTGTTCAGTGAATTTAAAGAATTACCTTGGTAATCTAAACTTCTATCAAGATAAAGAATTTAATCATCACTCCAGAAAAGAAAGTTCATTCATGTTTTCAGATGTTCCTCTCACCAACTGCCAGAGACAACTATTGGTCTGGATTTTTTTTTTTTTACGTTGAAAATTAGTTTATCTTTTTAGAACTTTACGCCAGTGGAATTGAATTGTACAGTGTGAAGTTTTTTTTGTTGTTGTTGTTGTTTTGTTGTTGTTGTTGTTTGGTTTTTAAAACAGGGTTTGGCTGTCTTGGACTTGCTTCGTAGACTAGGCTGGCCTCAAAGTCACAGAGATCCACCTGCCTATGCTTCCTTGAACAGTTCTGGGATTAAAATGTGTACCACTGCACCTGGCAGTATGCAGTTTCATTAGGTGAATAAGTAGGTAGTTTTTATTTCGCAAATTAATTTTTTTCTATGTGAATATATCTTAATTCTTTTTTATTTTAGTCATTTTATTTACTTACTTTACATCCTGACCACAGTTTGCCCTACTTTCTCTCCTCCCAGTTTTTACCCACCTCTTCAACCCCTCATCCACTCCTCCCTTTCTTTTTTGGGAGGCCTCCTGTGGATATCAACAACTCCCCTCCCCAACATTTTAAGGCACAGTAAGATTAAGCGCATCTTTTTCTGTTGAGGCTAGATAAGGCAGCCCTTAGGGGGAAAAGGGTCCCAAAGGCAGGCAGCAAGAGTCAGAGATAGCCCTTGTTCCTGCTGAAGACCAAGACACAACTAAGTGCAGAGGGCCTGAGTCAGTCCCATGCATGCTCAGTTGGCAGTTTAGTCTCTGAGAGACCCTATGGGCCCAGGTTAGTTAAGTCTATAGCTATTTTTTGTATGTGTTGTCATTGACCCTTCTGCCTCCTTCAATCCTTCCTCCCCTCTTTCACAGGATTCCCCAAGCCTAGTGTTTGGCTTGTGTCTCTTCATTGGTTTCTATTAGTTGATGGATGAAACCTCTCTGGTGATGATTATATTAGGCTCCTCTCTGCAGATATAGCAAAATATCATTAATAATGTCAGGAGTGGACTTTGTCTCATGGCATGGGGCTCAAGCTGGGTCAGTCATTGGTTGGCCATTCCCTCAAATTCTGCTCCATCTTTTGTCCCTGCATATTTTATAGGCATGAAAAATTGTGGGTCAAAGGTTTTATTATTTTTTTTTCTCTCTTTTTAAAGATTGTATGGCGTGAAGGTTTTGTGGCTGCGTTGGTGTCCCAATCCCTCTATTGGAAGTCTTGCCTGGTTATGGGAGACAACCAGTTCAGGCTCCAAATCCCCCATTGCTAGGAGTCTTAGCTAGGGTCACCCTCATTCTTTTTCTTGCTATGTACTATTTAACTGTATAGGTGTATTACAGTATAGCCACTCTTGTAGACACAGAATTTTAAAGACTTAGAGCACAGCTGGGGAGATAGCTCAAGTGGCCAAAGTGCTTTCAAAGAAGACATGAATTTTATCCCTGGGTACTGTGTTGTTTTTCTTCTTTTTTATTTTTGCTTTTTAAAAGACTGGGCCTAGTGGTGCATGCTTATAATCCCAGCACAGGAAGTAGGAGACTGGCAGATCGCTAGTACTAGTTAGTGTATATGTGTGTGTGTGTGTGTGTGTGTGTGTGTGTGTGTGTGTGTGTGTGTACACACTAATCGAATATCTATCTGTAACCAGCCTAGCCTTCTTGGAGTGATCTGTCTCAAAAAATAAAATAAAAATAAATAAAAGAAAAAGAAAGAAAGTTGAAGGTACCTGAAGAATGACACTCAAGGTTGTCCTCTGGTCTGTACACACACACACACACACCCTTATGTATCCAAATAGACAGATAGAGCCCATACGATCTTTTTCTTAGAAAGCAAGCATTAGTAAGAATATAGCTGTGTTGAGTGCAACCATACTCATATTTCTAATGCTATGACGACAAACCCCGTGACCAAAATCAACTTGGAGAACAAAGGGTTTATTTGGCTTATATATCCATATTATAGTCTACCATGAAGGGATGCCAAGGGAGGAACCTGGAAGCAAGAACTGAAGCAGAACAATGGGGGAACATTACTTGTTGGCTTGCTCCCCATGTGTTGCTCAGCCTGCATGGTTCCTTACACAACAAAGGAGTACCTTTCTAGGGGTGTCACTGCCTACATTGGTCAGGGTCCTCCCACAATAATCACTAATGAAGAAATTGTCTCACAGATATGCCCACAGACCAATCTGATGGATACAATTTCTCACTTGATGTCCCGTCTTCTCAGGTGACTTTAGTTTGTGTTAAGTCAACAGGCCAATTGGAAAAAGTGTAAACTTTGGTGAAATTATTTTTTCATAAACGTGACTAAGTGTTTATTGGGTCTAGTTCTGAATTTTTGTTTTGATGTGTAAAATTGGTTCTCTTTGTTTTTATTACCTAGCCTGAAGAAAATTCGTGGCAAGGTCTGGAAGCAGAGAATATCTAGCCCTCTGTTCAACACCAAACAATACACAATGGAATTAGAGCGGCTCTATCTGCAAATGTGGGAGCATTATGCAGCTGGCAACAAACCTGACCACATGATTAAGCCTGTTGAAGTCACCGAGTCAGCCTGAATAAAGACTGCACACAGGAGAATTACCCCTGTACCTGAGCCTCAACCTTTTGGGGGAAAGGGAACTAGATTAATATGCTTTGTGCGTATCTGTACAGTACTGTGTTGCAGATGGGTGATATTATTGATAATAGAATAGCACAGCCAGACTTGCTTCCTGCATGATAGGGAGAGACAAGAGATAAGAAACTGCTATTCCACAAGGAATGTCTGTAGAGTTTTGCAGCAACCAGGTGGTACAGAGGTCTGGAAGGTCTGGTCTCCCTTGGTCTTCCATGGGATGCTTAATGTGGAGGAAGATAGAGCTTGACCAGCCATTTTGTGGTTCCATGGATTGATCAAGTCTTCTGATCCTTTATTTTTTTTTCTTTATATTTTGGGTATTGGAACTAAGAATGTCTGCTTTTGGGTATTTTTACTTATGTGAAGTGGTCTTGATTCTTCTGAGATAAGGTTTTAAACTGAAATGTTGCTTCCTGTTTTAGTGTCTGAACTCTTGACAGGGTGACAGGAACCTTGCTGGTGTAGTCTTTTTATAGGTTTTATAAACCACTTGAGCCTATATCAGTCATTTTAGAGTCTGACCTAGCTTGGCGCTGTCAGTGCTTTTTTGATTTAGATGATGACTCGAGATTTTCAGCCTGTTTTCCATTTCTTTCCCCCCAGCCTCCCTTTAAATTCTCCTGTGACTGCTAAGAAAACCAAGTCTGGTTTCAGACATCCCAGAGTGTTTCTGTCAAACACGCCATCTGGTGCCAAATGAAAATTCTTAGGAGTGAATATTAATCATGAAGGTCACAGTTGTGGTACTGTTCTTGATAATAATGTAGATTTTTTGCCTAAGTTTTACCTATTTCACGAGTGTTTAAGCCCTTTGATTGCCCCTCCTATGTTGCTTCCAAAAGTGATAGTGTGTGATAAGATTTTTACCTTCCTTTCTAAAGTTTGTTGTTTTTTTTTAAAGTGAGTCCTGTTCTTCCTATTTCTTTCAGCAGAAATGAAATCCCAGGTAAGTATAAGTATTCAAATATTTGACTAGCAAGTTGCAGTTCTCTCCAGTACATTAAATAATGGTCACTGACAGATTTAAAGGTAAAAGCTGTGATGGATCATCTCTCTATACAGGCAGTTATTTTTCAGACTGTGTTTGGTTATATCTTCTGGACTTAATCTCCAAGTCTATGGATTCAGCCTGGGTAGTAGTGAATTTATACTACTTGGGTTGGAGTACACATTAGACTTTGGCCCTTGGGGAGCTTGAATTCTTGGTGGTTAAAAAAAATTGCATTTCAGTAAAGGGTAGAGGGCTGGAGGGGTACACAAACAAGCCAACATATGAATATGTTTGTACTGCTTTACTGCACTTATACTCTCCAGTCACAGATGAGTTTTCTCTGTTAGTAGTGCTGTAGATTATGTCTTTCCAAAGCACGTAGGCAGTGCACCTATTCTCTAGTTGCAGCTATTGCCTGAATGTACCTTAGCTGAAAATTATTGATAATTAAGAATTTGAATTTGTAATTCTTACTGCTAGTTAAAACTGAAGCAAGGAGTCTCATGTAATTCTGATAGCAGAATTATATTGAAATGAATTGTATACCTTTAATAATGTAAATCAAAGAATATCAGTTAAAGGGTTTCTTAATTTATTTTTTAACTGAATAAATATCAGTTAAAGATTACCAGCATGGCTACAGGTAAACTGATTTTCAAATTTCACTGAACTAAATGTGGGATTGGATAAAAAGACTTTCAGTGCCACTGAGTCTGTGACCTGTGGCCATTTACATAGCACATCATTCCTCCTATAGGGATGAATTTTATCCAGGCACGAAAAGCAGCTGCTCCAGTTGAAGCTTTGCTTATTGTAAAAGGCTTTTATTTCCAGGTAACATGTCTGTGGAAGACTTAATTCTGAACAGAGTTATAGATATTACTGGAAACTAATTTTTTTTTCTATTATATTCTGCTTTATTGAAAAAGTAAAGCATTTAAAATTGTGCTCCAGAAATTCAGATGTTGTCTTGTGATCTTTAAACAATAAATGGATGATTTCCCCTTAATGTGGCTTGGTGTATTTTGTCTTGTTATGATAACCATATTCTTGAATAGGTCAAAATAGCACAACCAGAAGTGTTTCCTTGTTTTATGTTGATGCTAGGAATTAACTTTGTTTTCTTTCTGATTGGAGATTTGGAGTTGGCAAATAATCCATTAACGGGACAACAGAGCTCCATATAGGCTTTTGTGGGTCTTTTTTTTTTTTTTTTTTTTTTTCGCCTTTCATTCTGGGGATTGAGCCAGAGGGTCTTTTTTTTTTATTAATATATTTTTTAAATTTTTTTGCTGGGGCCTGCCAGCAGAGTCAAACAGTTCTTGAGTCGGGAGTGAGGATTAAAATAAATAAACTAACACACAACACATGGGACCTTTCTGAGAGGCTCTAGTGGAGAGTAGACTCGACCAACAGCCTGGCTTTATTGCCGACTGCTTTTAAACTAGAGTAAAAACAGCTCAGAACAATGGGTTAAATTTACAAGGAGGTGAAACAAGAGGTGTGATTTTGACAAGCTCTCCCACTTGCTGTCACAAACAAAAGGAGATGGACTTGGAAATTCTTCCCTGGCTTCAGTGAAGGCCTGGTAAAACCAGTCTTTCTACTGAGATTTATATATCAAAGCAGCTGCTATAGAACAGTGGCTCCCAACAGGTCTCCCTTTTTTATTTTTTTTTTTAAATTTGACCATAACTTAAGAGTTATGGAGCAGAAGGTTTTGCCTGTCTTAGGTTGTTTCTCTCGTAAGATATATTCTTACCTATCATTGGTACATGAATTCCATCATTCATGCCCTGTCTTGGGTTGAATGTATCCCAGAGAAACATTACCCGTCTATGACTACCAACCTCTGCTAGGGTAGACACTGGGGTTTGATCTTATGCAGCTCAGCTTTAACATTCTAAATGGCCTTCAGGCAGGTTTTCATTGTCGCCGATAGGAACGCATCTCCTATCACAAGCCAAGTCCAAAATAACACTCCATAAAAGTGGCTTAATAAATGACTCCTTGTGTAAATTACCAAGTCTGAGAAACATTCACAGGAACCATAGTAAAAGGCTGTTGAACAATCAGAACCATTTGAAAGCTTACATATACAGTTTGTTAGTTTACATTGAAGGCAAGAAACATTAAAGTTTGAATCTTATTAACATTTCGAAACAACAAAGCAAAAGGAGAATTTACATAGGCAGTTACAGGGCCTCCCAAGAGTTTCTGAAGCAAGCTTGTTTTGGTCTGCTGAAAACCAGTAAGACCAAAGGTTCACATTTGGTCCTCTTTTTCATTCTTTCTGATTTTGTTGAGAATTATCCTTATTAACAGAACAATCAAGTCCAGTCCATTGTATAAGAAGTTTCTCTGCATGAGGTCTTCTCCCAGGAGCAGAATGAAACAAAAGTTAGGTCAGGAGCTTAAGTCCAATGCGGCTTTTTGGTCTCAGTCAGGGCAGAATTTACAATTGTCTGTAGCAGGAACATCCTCCTGGGGAACAACTCCTGCAAATTGCACCAGCCTTTAATAGGATCCACCTGGCTCCTTCTGCGTCCTGTGGGAAAACACAAAAAAGCCTTCTTCCCCATATTAATACAGGGTCAGGGCCCTGCCATATTCCAGTAATCAGATCTTTCCATTTTACTTGGGCATAATTATCTTTGGTATTAGGATGCCACAATCAATCAGCCGCAGAACGGCCTCGTATATCCACGTTCAAAAATTTTAAAATAAAGAGAGAACATGATTAAGATTTGGGGATATGAGTCCCCCTTTTTTATTTTTTTTGCAATTGGTTTTTAAGAGATCCATATGGGCAGGCTCCATAGGTTTTTAGCCTTGAGGATTATATGGCATACCTGCTTTATGACTTTTTAAAAATGTTGAGAAGCTTGACTAATATATGTAGTACCATTATTAATCTTTATAATGGAAGAAATACCAATTATAGCAAAACATTTTAGATTTTAAAATTTTGGGATATGAGTAATGTCTGTTTGTTGTTCAGAATGGTTTTAACCCTAGGTTTTAAGTAAGTTAACTTTGTTACAAATTTTAAACAGCCAATGACCAATAATGTATAACCAAGACCTACTGAAAATGGTAAACATATCTTCAAGACAGACATACAAAACATCTTGTTATTTGTTGGATCTAATTTTTTATGACCATTGAAGCTTTGTAGCAGAATTAATTATTAGCTTTCTTACTGGAAAAACTGAGAGGCTGCCTCTTTAATAGTTTTTCCTTGTAGGGTGGCAGCCATAGCTACTCCTTGAGTATAAGATGGCCCGATGTCTGAACATAACCTCATATATTCAGAAACATCTCCTTTCTTTATAAAGGGTCTCAAAGCTGTTTGGCAAGCACTGTTAGCATTCTCATAAGCCAAATGTTATACTAATAATAATCCAGACTTTTCATCGCTTATAAGTCTGCTGCTTGCTTTAATCTTGTCACAAAATCTTGAAATAACTTATCAGGTCCCTGACAGATTTTAGACAAATGACAGATTTTAGACAAATCCTCCACCTGTCTACCTGCTTGTGGAAGTTTATTCCAGGCCCTCTGGCCAGCAGCATTTACCTGAGCATAAACGGCCACATCGAAATCCAATTGTTGTCCTATTTCCCTGTAGAATTCTTCTCCAGCAAGCATGTCATAAGTTATAGGAATTCCCTGAGCTCGAGTAAGTTCAGCTGTAACTTGACAATGCTCTGCAAATTCTGACTTCCATAATAAATGATCTCCTCCTAATAAGCACATTCTTGTTAACTGTTTCCAGTCCCCTGGGCAGAGGGCCTCATTAGACAAGGACTCCAACAGAGTTTGAGTGAAAGGCCTGTAGTACCATGTTGAGAGCATGCAGCTTTTAATTGTTTAAAAGGTATAGGAGCATGGACTCTCGCCATATTACCCTGTCCATCAGGTTGCTCTAGAACTGGAAAACCATAAAACTCAGTTATATTTTCTCCATTCTGCCTAGCTTCTTGTAAAGAAGCTTGTAAGGGAGATACAGTTGCACATACAGTGGACAAAGGAAAAGATCCTCTTGTCTTTTGGGCCACTGCAACTGTAGCAGTCCCAGGAGGAGGGTCCAAACCGGCAACCAATGATGGATATGGAGTGGGAGATTGAGCCTCATTTTCCCTAGTAGTTAATTCTATAATTTTTTCTGTTTATTTCCTCCAAGCTCCATTCCAATTTTTTAATTTCTTTTTGCCAAGGTTTACGCTTTTTAAGGTGCATAGCCTGAATTGGAGGGTATCAGAATAATACTGATCTGGTTCTTCCTCCAACTCTGCAACCTCATTAGGATCCAAGTCTTCCTCAAAGTCTCCTTCTGGCAAGAAATTACTGTCATCAGGAGGGAAATACAACTCCTCTGGAGGAGCTGATATTCTAATATCATTTTTCTTGAAGCCTGCCATCTTTCTAACCTCCTTCTCTCTGAGCCTGAAAGTTTAACTTTCTCAGTTTCCTGCTGCATATACACACTACCTTTAATTAAGTTTCATACAAAAAACACTAGGCTACTGCCTTGGCCCATCTTTATTCCCAGATTTACTCATTGCGCCCTTTCTACTTAATGATGCGAGCTCGCCAAAAACCGCGGTGTCCTTCAATGATTCCCTGTATTTCAAGTCCCACGTCTGGGCACCAATCTTCCAGGGCCTGCCAGGAACGGTTCTTGAGTCGGGAGTAAGGATTAAAATAAACTAACACACAACACATGGGACCTTTCTGAGAGGCTCTAGTGGAGAGTAGACTCGACCAGCAGCCTGGCTTTATTGCCCACTGCTTTTAAGCCAGAGTAAAAACAGCTCAGAACAATGGGTTAAATTTACAAAGAGGTGAAACACAAGGTGTCATTTTGACAAGCTCTCCTACCTGCTGTCATAAACAAAAGGAGATGGACTTGGAAATTCTTCCCTGGCTTCAGTGAAGGCCTGGTAAAACCAGTCTTTCTGCTGAGATTTAAATATCAAAGCAGCTGCTAGAACAGTGGTTCCCAACAATTTTTAAATAATTTTATATATTCACTTTTATCCCAGCTGTAGTAGCACTCTCCCGCTTTCCCTTCCAAACCTCCCCTCCCTCCCTTATCTCCTCCCTGCCCCCTTCCAAGTCCACTGAGAGGGGGTGTCCTCCTCTCCTTCCATCTGGCCCTAACTTATCAGGTATCTTCAGGATGGTTGCAATGTCCTTATCTGTGGCCTAGCAAGGCTGCGCCTCCCTCAGGGGGGAGGGAATGCTCAATAAGCCAGACATTGAGTTCATGTCAGAAATAATTCCTGTCCCCTTTACTAGGGAACACACTTGGATACTGAGCTACCATGGGCTAACCCTACCAGTGTATCAAAGCAGATGCTGAGACCCATAACCAAGCCTTTGGCAGAGTGTAGGGAATCATATGAAGGAAGGAGGAATTAGTATTACCTAGAGGGGACAGGGAGCCCCACAAGATCCAAATATATCTGGACACAGGGGTCTTCTCTGAGACTGTTTATCCAACCAAGGACCATGCATGGATATAACCTACAACCCCTGCTGAGCAGAGAGTCTTATGCATATCAAGTAAGCACATTAACACTGAGCTACAACTCCAGCCCATAGAGTCTGACTTTATATGTGGACTACTCTTGTCTAGTATTTATAGACAGAACTATTTTCCCTCCACTGTGTACAATGGTTGAACTCAGCCACAAGTTTGCCCTCCAATTTTTTTCAGAGATATAAAAGGGAAACATTTGGAGCTGAAAAGATGACTTGGTAGTTGAATGCCCTGGGTGCATTTCCAGAGGCCCCAGTTTTGATTCCCAGTATCTACTTGGCAATTTGTAACTCCAGATTCAGAGAATCTGGCATTCTTTTGGCCTCCAGCATGGATGGAGGAAGCAGCCCAGATAAGAGACTATACAAGTATTTATGGAATTATGGATGGGAGGTAAAGGTAGTTTAGAGAGTTAATATCTGCCTTGCCCCAGGTAATATGAGGTTATTCTAAAATCTATC